AGCGTGGAATGTTACAGTCAATAGCTAGAGTCTACGACCCTCTAGGGGTAACCTCACCGTTGATGTTGGATGCGAAGGAGATTTATCGGAAACGTGCGAAGAGAAGCATTCGTGGGACATTCCTCTGCGAAAGGAAATAGCAGAATCATGGAAGAAATGGCGGGATGGTCTTCCTGAAGAAGTAAGCGTTCCAAGAAGCATAACCCCTCACAAGGAGGAGATAACCGGGATAAACTTACATGGGTTCGGAGATGCAAGCGTGAAGGGGTGCAGTGCAGCAGTTTATGCAGTAGTTCATCAGGGGGAGAAGACAACTCAGGGATTGGTTACATTCAAATCAAGAATAGCGAAGCCAAATGTCAGCATTCCAAGACTGGAACTCATCGCAGGACATATGGTAGCGAATTTAACAGATAACGTTCGTAGAACCTTAGCTGGGTACAACATCTTTGGTGCTTACGGATGGCTGGACAGCACAGTGGCTCTCTATTGGATTAAGAATAAAGACGCTGAATGGAAACAGTTCGTGTCCAACAGAGTTGCAAAAATACAACAGAAAGAGTTAATCTGGCGACATTGTCCAACCACCCAAAATCCTGCAGACATCGGTAGCCGAGGCGAAAATATCCAACAGCTGAAAAATTCTATGTGGTGGACAGGACCAAGATGGTTAGCTGACGAGAACAATTGGCCAACAGATATAACTCTAAAGAAAACCAAGAAAGTTAGCGAAGAACATAGAGTAACCGTACAGAAATTACACACAATTGTTAGGAAAGAGAACAATTTGAACGATCTTCTTGTGAAATGGAACCTCTGGAAGGTTTTGCGTATTGTTGCACGGGTTTTCAGATTCGTGTCTAACACAACGAAGCGGGGGAAAACGAAAGGCGTTCTGACTACCAATGCGATTAATAATGCTGAAACGTTCTGGATAAAACTCGTTCAGGAAGAAGCGACCAAAGAAGAAAACCATTCAGCTATAGCACCTAAGCTGGGTTTGGAAGCAGATGAAAAGGGAGTACTAAGGTGCAAAGGACGGATAATCGGGGAGCATCCAGTCTACCTTCCAAGAAATCATCGCTTCTCGAGTCTCGTGGTTTCTGATGCCCACGAACGTACTCTCCACGGAGGAGTAGGGCTAACGATGGCCAAAATTCGACAGAAATGGTGGATCGAGAAGCTGAGATCCCTGGTCAAGTCGGTGCTACACAAGTGCAACACATGTGTGAAGTACAGAGCAAGGAAAATGGAAAATGGAAGGGAAATGCTACGTGGCATTGTACACTTGTGCTACATCTCGAGCTGTACACCTTAACCTCCTTCCAGATATGACGGCGGAAGAGTTAAAAGGAAGTCTTGTTATAAATTCTCCTCGTGAGATTTATTCCTTTGCTGATTCTCGAATATAATGGGACTGTATGCTTTCGGTTTTCACAAATTTTATTCTATTATCATTCGTTACATATGACTGATCACTGCTATCGATATACAAACACTCTATCACAATCTTTCACAATTCATTTCAACACATTCACAACTCATTCGCAACTCAACCGCAACTCATCTCCCTCTTTTGACAATCTCACTCGTATTTATACGCTCTGATTTTTCATACTGTGGGAACTTTTTCCAAGAGGAAGTTCAATGTGTGACGCACATTATTCACATCTTCCTCGCTTGGTTGACCACAAGTCAACCCACAAACTTCCCTTACGTACCTTGTTACCCTAGTCCTACTTGGCAGCGAATTAACACACGTAAATAGGCTACATCAAGAGCTTTTAAAAAATTAATATCTCTTTATTTCAATTTACGTAGAAAACTGTTTGTAAATGCATGCAACACAAATATATATCAATTAAGAAAATGGCGCTGAATTTATGCTTATTGCTAGCAAAGTCACGTGACCGGAAATGTACGCCGGAAATCACATTCCGGATGTGGGAAACGGTAGCTACACCGACCCCTAAATAGTCATCATACTATTTACTTAAAGAATAGCTACCAAAAAAAATCAATCCAAGCAAGTTCAAGTTTTAAGTTAGTTCAAGTTTTTAGTTACTTTTAGATCTCGCAATTATAATGAAAATAATTACTATTTCCTCTTAAAACACAAACAGCAGTACTTTAGAAACTCGTTCTTTGTCAGATCTGCAAGTCTGTGGAACAGCCTACCAGCAGATCTAAAAATCTGTGGTTCGCTTAACTCTTTCAAGATTAGTATACGTAAACATTATGTTTCTAAGTTAACTTCTTACAGTCCTCCTGGCTTTACTTAGATCTATAAGTTATAAAAGTTATTTGTGTAATGTACTGTACTAACGTGCTTGGCTGCTTGTTGTTTACTTGGTCTCAGGGCCTTCCTGAGGCTCCATATGATTCTGTTGCAAAATAAGTTTTTGGTTAGGCTAGTGATTTGTTCGAGAAATAGTTAGAAATATTGACATTCACTTACTAATGACCTATTCCCATGTGTACCTCAGTACTTTTGTCACGAATCATGCATGCGAAAAGTCATTGTGCTCGGTGTGCAACAAGCAGCAAAGTCTAGTTATAATGCTGGGGTCAGGTGTCAATTGGGACGCAAGTCCTGTTCCTTTCCCCAGTCACATTTATGTCCTCTGTTTATTGTAGATGTATGCGTAATGATTGTGTTGTGACAAATGATTAAATTAAATTAAGTTATAGTCATCCGAATCCAATTCCAAAAAACATAATTTGTGAACAGGACGTGTTAAGATGGTAGAGCTGACTTTATACTCTCCTTTTCGTTGTCGCTTGGCTTTGGTTGCCACAGATGAACTGGTCTTCACGCGGACAGTACGAACATATCCATCTCGGCTCGTTAGAACTTCGGTAACTAGACCAAGTGGCCATTGTCCCCTCGGGAAAGTCTCGTCAGCCAACAAAACTAAGTCACCAACTTTCATATTTCTTCTTGGCACGGTCCATTTCTTTCTTTCACATAATGTTGGTAGATATTCCTTCGTCCATCTTCACCAGAACAATCCCGCTAAATACTGTGCTTGTCTCCATGCGCGTTTTTTGTTAAACAACCCTGGGGGTAATGCCGTAGTCGGTCGTAGATGCAATAAATGATTAGGAGTTATGGGTTCGTCGTCCAAAGGACTGTCGCTATTTCGTGTTAGCGGCCTCGAATTTAAGATGTTCGTCACTTCCGCCATCACTGTCAAAATAACTTCATCAGTTACAATCTGCTCTTTCAAAATAGCCTTCTGTATTTGTCGTACAGATCTGATCATTCTCTCCGTAACGCCATTCATGTGACTGGCCGAGGGTGCATTAAAAATCCATTCAATCTTTCGTTGGACGCAAAACTCATTAATCTTATGTTGATTCCAATCCTCCATCGCTTGATTTAAAGTTCCTTATTTCCACAAACGAAGTTTGTACCACGATCACTTCTTAGCAGTTCTGGGCATCCACGAATACAAATAAACCTGCGGAGTGCGTTTATCATGGAATCCGTATCCAAGGAGTGTGTTATCTCAATGTGAACTGCACGTGTTGTCAAACATGTGAAGATGCATCCGTAGCGCTTGCAACGTGATCTTTTCACTTTCACTTGTAGGGGTCCAAAATAATCTGTACCAACATATGTGAACGCTGGCTTGTCTGGAGTTATTCGATCCTGCGGTAAGCTAGCCAGATACTGATCTGACAATTTAACCTTTCTTCGTTGACAATCAATACAATACTTAATCACGCGTCGAACAGCAGATCTTCTTTTGATGATCCAAAATTCCTGTCGCAGAGAAGAGAGAACCGATTCTTGACCCATATGACCAACGATTATATGATAGTAACGAATGATCATGTCGGTTATGTGGTGTTTGTAAGGCAGGATAATGGGGTGTTTCGCATGATCATCTATTTGGGCATAATCCAATCTCCCTCCAACGCATAATAAACCTTCTTTCAGAATTGGACTTAGTTGATGAATTGACGTTCCCGCCTTTCGAAGCATCTTCTTTGTTGTGGCTGTTGGACGATTGGAATTAACCAATAACTGGAATACAGCTGGAAACGCAGGGGGCTGAACACGTTTGAGAATTTCTCTTTCCGCTACATCTAATTCGCTCAAAGTTAAATATCCAAAGTATCTTCTTTGATGTTCATATGACGTTGTGTTACTTCTCTCTTGAACCTTGCATTGAAGGTACTGCTTGTATCGTAACCACCAACCCACTGCTCGCTTTAATTTCCACCAATTTGAATAGAACGAGATTAAATCGTCCAAACCGTTGCCTTGTACAGAACTGCATAAATCTGGGTTTCGTTTCTGACTTGTGGATCTTCATCCTTTAAAATTGGTATTTCTTGCAGTCGAGGCCATTCACTCTCGCTTTCTTTCAGAAACATGGGACCCGTTAACCAACGATTGTTCTGAACCATGAGGTTTACCTTCATCCCTTTCGAACCGTCATCAGCAGGGTTGTCTTTTCGATTGATATAGTTCCATTCTAATGGATCGGTCTCACTATGGATGACAGTCAAACGGTTTGATTCAAATGTATGAAATCGTTTTGTTTGATTGGTGATGCATTTCAACACCGACATAGAGTCCGTCCAGTAATATGTTCTCTGTATTGACATATCTAATTCTTCACGAATTATAGCAGATAATCTTACTGAGAGGACTGCAGCAGTTAACTCAAGTCTTGGGATGCTTATTTCACGCAACGGTGCCAGCCTCGACTTGCCCATAACAAACGCGATGTGTACGTTGCCACTTGTTTCTACAAGACGGAGATACGCCACCGCTGCATATCCTACTCGAGAAGCATCCGAAAATAGATGTAGTTGCACCACCTTTATTTCACCGAAATTGAGTGGCTTGAAACAGCGACTAATCTTGATTTCTTGCAATTTGGGTATATCTTCTAACCAACGACTCCATTGTGCTTGCTCGTTATCCGGTAGTGGATCGTCCCAACCGACTTGTTTTCTGCTAAGGACTTGTAGCAGGAGTTTGGCTTTCATAACAAAGGGTGCGATGAGTCCTAATGGATCGAAGAAAGAGTAAACCGCAGATACCATGCCTCTACGCGTTATTGACGTTTCTCTGGTGAACTGCAACATCTTCTCCGTAACCGTCCACACAAATACATCTTCCTCGGAATTCCATCTCAGGCCAAGGGTATTTTCAGTTGGTAATCGATCTCCCTTTAAATTGACAACAGATTTAGCTCGTTCGGATTTAGGAACTGACGCCAACACCTTTTCATCATTACTGAACCATTTCGTTAGACGAAATCCCCCTCTTTGTAGTAATTCTCTCAGCTGGTGAACTAGCCTGATGGCTTTCTCTGTGGTTTCTGTCGATTTGAGCAGGTCGTCAACATACATGTTTCGTTTCACTGTCTCTGTTGTGACATCATCAAACTCTTTACAATTTAACTCTGCTGTTTTCCGTAAACAGAAATTGGCGACGCTGGGTGATGACGTGGCTCCGAAGAGATGTTTAACCATTCGGTACTCTTCCAACTCTTTGGAGAGATCTGCGTTTGGCCACCAAAGGAACCTCAATACGTCTCGATCTTTTGGTTCCACCAACACTTGATGAAACATGGCTTCTATGTCAGCAACCAATCCAACTTTCTCTTGTCTGAAACGAATTAGTACTCCAACTAATTGATTTGTTTGATCAGGACCAGACATCAATTGCTGATTTAGCGATGTCCCTTTATACGTAGCCGCACAATCATACACTACTCTAACTTTCTCTGGCTTGAGAGGGTGCACGACAGGATGATGCGGTACATACCAAACAGGTCTATCATCAGGTTCTAATTCCTCCTTCGGTATCTTCTCAGCGTGACCATCATCAATGTAGTTATTCATTGTTTCTTGGTATTTAATATGCAGATTCTCGTTTTTCATCAATCTTTTCTTTAAGAGGAAGGCTCTTCGTAATGCGACTATCTTATTATTCGGCAAATAAGGAGGGTTGTATCTCCAAGGTAGGGCAACTTGGTAATGTCCGTCGATCATTGTCAAGGTTGATCCCATTATCTTCAACGCCTTTCTGTCTTCCATCGAATCACATGCTTTGCTGTCAAGGAGCGAACCGCCAAAGTCCGTTTTCCATAAGCTTTCAAGCTGCCGATTGAGATCATCATTCTGACGTTGGCATTCGATTTCAGTTTCCCATGAACACGAAGATTGTAGATTTCTCATTTCCTGCCCCATAATCGGATCACTACTCCTTTCGCTTGCTAGATTCACGGGTTGTTGATCCATACGATTAATACATTCAACAGATTTCGCTGAAAAAGATTTCTCAATTTGTTTGGTGATACATGAATTGTCCAATGTACGTACGAAATTAGTTGAACAAACTTCATCGTCCTTTTGTCCACCAACAGGGCCTACCACCGTCCATCCTAAGCTATATCTGACTCCTATAGGCTCCATCTCACCACCAATTCTATATTCTACTGGTAAGAATAGGGAGGGTTTTTCCTGAAGGCCAATCACCAACATGACATCATCATCTTTCAGCTCGTGTAAATCGATATCGTTTAAATGAGGCCAGGACCTAACATCTTCTCTCTTTGCAATACAGCTTCCTGAAATCGAAATTTCAGTTACAGTTCGAACGTTTGACAAATTCACTGATGCTTCATTGTCTATGGAAGTAACTGTAATATCAATCAATTGGCTTTTCATTCTCATTGATCCAGTCATACCTGATAGCGTAAAATCTAACTCTGTCCCACTCACACCAAGTTTCTTTCTCAATCGTTCATGACAAAGTGTTACCTCTGATCCGCTGTCCAACAGAGCATAAGTCTTGACTACTGGTCCAGCTCCTCCCTTCGCTTTAACTTTTATTGGAACTACACTTAAACACACTTTCTCGCCGACCCCAATTGCGGAACTAACTTGAGCTCTCTCTAGTTGATTTGTTGCTTCTTCCGCATCAAAGTCTGTTTTCGTACTTCTTGATACCAGATTCTTTGTTCCAGTTCTCGCTTGACTTGAAGGACTTAATTCATTGGGGTGCAATAACGTATTATGTTCCTTATTACATCCTTGTACTTGACATTTAAACTGAGTTTTAGGACACTGTTTCGCGAGATGGCCATTACACAAACACTTGAAACAAAGAACTCTCGCTTGCACCAATCTCTTTTTATCCTGATAAGGTAAGCTTCGAAACTTATCACGTCTCCAAATTCTGTGTTCACTGGAACACATTGGACATTTCCTCTGAGTTGGTAGGGTATCGTCCTGCTCCTTTTTCTTGTTGCTATATCTTGCTGCGAATGATGATCCAGTTCGTTGACCAAATCTTCCTTGATAATCTCTGTTCTTCGGTTTTCCGCCTTTGTCTGACGAAAAAGTTACCAGATCTTCCCCAAATTCATTGTTCACAAGCGTAGCTCGTCGTTTAACAAATTGAAGGAAATGAAGAAACTTTGGTCTCGATCCACGTTCGATGATCTCTCCCGCTCGTTCCGTCCACTTAACTCTCATGAATCCAGGCAACTTTCGATTCAGCAATTTCAACGTATTAACATGATCTAGTTCATCAGTGTACTCAGATCCCATTCCTGCTAAAGTTCTGTTAGCAACTTCAAGATGTCTTGCAAACTCCAGTAGGCTTTGACCGTTCACTTGTTTCAAAGGAGCTAAGTTTTCCAACTTCTTTATGTAAGCATGGGCTATGATATGAGGTTTCCCGAAATTTTCACGTAAGGTTTCCTTCACAGCTTGATAACCATGTTCCTCGGGAAGATTAACACAGCTCTCCACTGCCTCACGAGCCTTGCCAGTACAGTGCTGAATCAGAAGTTGTAGCCGTCTTGAATTATCAGGATTGTCTTTCTCCAAACATGCCTCGAAATTATGCATAAATGAGATATAGTTCACTGGGTCCCCATCAAAATGCATATATTTAATTTTTGGTGTCGAAACTACTTGACGCAATGCTCGTATCACTTAATTCTTCTCCTGTGTCCACCATCCTTGGCAAGGACTCCACATCACGATGAATATATCGCTGCGGCGGTTGAGATGGTTGGGGCCAAGAGGTCGTTGTCGTTCGCTGCGGTGGTTGAGATGTCTGGGGCCAAGAGGTCGTTGTCGTTCGCTGCGGTGGTTGAGATATCTGGGGCCAGGAGGTCGTTGTCGTTCGCTGCGGTGGTTGATATGTCTGGGGCCAAGAGGTCGTTGTCGTTCGCTGCGGTGGTTGAGATATCTGGGGCCAGGAGGTCGTTCGTGGTTGACACTATTCGTTAAACTGTGATATCCCTTGCCCAATCGGCTGGTTAGACACTTCTGGATTCCCCACTAAATCTCTCAATGTTTGCAACGGTCCAATATCTGTTTCTATTGTTGCTTGTGCTTCCTGACTCCAAACTTCTTCTGCTAACACTTTCACTGGCGGCATATTTCTGTGAATGCAGTGTTTTGACTTAACTCTGGCAATTCTTGTCCGTATTGCCTCAGAGTAGGTTGATCCACATAATATCTCGAAACACCCTCTTGTTTCTGACTAGGTGTGGATTCTTCAATCTTTGACCCTCTAGATACATAAAGTTCCCTCGGAAAGTTAATTGTTTCTCTATTGGCTTTACTAGTTTGTATAGGATTTACTGATTTTAAGCCAGACCTATTCATAGCACCGTCCCTAAGTAGTAATCTGTCTTCTTCATAGTGATCTAAATTCTGTTCTTCCTCATTATCTGGTTCATAAATAAGACTTACCGCTGCACGCTCTTCTTCCATTTGTGCTTCCATCATTTCCTTTTCAAACTTCAATTCAGTCATTTTCCTTTCAAGCTGATGTTGTTTCTTCAACTGCGTAACTTTCAGCTTTGCTAAAGCCAACTTCTCCGCCTTTCTTGATATAGCTGTTGACCTTCCACTCCGACTAGACATTTCAGAAAGATTACCTGTTCGGGCTGTTCCACTTTGCTTCTTGCCAGAGTTTGACACTTCTTCTGTATTTTCTCTTGCTTTCAATTCGAGATTTTTGCACCATTGCTTAACTTCGATCCTCATCAAAATACAATTTTCTTATCTTCTGCCTTTCATATTAACTCAGAAGTGCCTTTTCTTTTTCTTCCTTTGAAATTATATATTCAATATATTGTTCATGAGCGTTTACAAACTTTCGCCAAGCATCATCATACTTTGCCTTTCTCGACATAATTTCATTCGTCTCCTCACATGCACACATAATTGTTTCAATGTCACCTTGTATTCTCGTTAAAGTACTAATATGTCCTGCTCGAGATCTAAACAACGCATTTGCTTTCTCAGCGAAATCTTCTCCTAGATTTCTCCCTTTATTGAGTACCTTTAGTCTTGAACTTCGTCTCACTAAAGTTTCTCTGCCATCAGCCTCTGATGCAGTTTCTCTTCTAATTTCTTGATTAATTTCTTGTCCATCAAGCGTAAAACAAGATCGTACAGACATTTGTACGTCTTTAATCAAACTGTCCGATTATACAATTCACAATATCAATGTTTCATGAATTCATAAATTCATTTCATGTTCGTAATCTTCACAAATTAAAGTCATCGATCATAAGCAACGATGTCCAAGCAAATATCTGTAACCAACGCACTGGTTCACAAGCTGGTTTCCACTCAAATAGGCTATAAGACCAGCTATTCCTGAGAACTTGTTCAAATTCCAAATTTCCAATCGCCAAACGAACGTAAACATTCGTTCATAATACTCGAATTAAAACAGTTTTCTACTGTTACCAAGTCCTACTTGGCAGCGAATTAACACACGAAAATAAGCTACATCAAGAGCTTTTAAAAAATGAATATCTCTTTATTTCAATTTACGTAGAAAACTGTTTGTAAATGCATGCAACACAAATATATATCAATTAACAAAATGGCGGCTGAATTTATGCTTATTGCTAGCAAAGTCACGTGACCGGAAATGTACGCCGGAAATCACATTCCGGATGTGGGAAACGGTAGCTACATACCTACATTCCGTCTTATTTACTAAAATGTTTAAAGTTCCTGTTTTTGTTTAAGTTCGTATTTCCTGTTATTCAAATGTTCCAGTTTACTTCATACATATTTTTGGTCATAACATTGGCATGTATATATAAATTTTTACTATATATTTTTACTGAATCTAATTAAGCTACTAATTTACAACAAGTCTCGCGGAATTTGTAGCACGAAGAGGTCGACCAGCGAAGATTGTTAGTGACAACGCGAAAACATTTGTCGCCATGGCAAAGTGGTTACGAAAACTCAAACGTAGTCAAGTCGTGAACGATTACCTCGCTCGGCGTGAAATCCATTGGCAGTTTAATCTCGCAAGGAGTCCATGGTGGGGCGAGTTTTTCGAGCGAATGGTGGGGCTCATGAAGAACGCGTTCAGGAAAGCTATTGGAAATGCAAATCTTACCTTCAAGCAACTGAAAGAGGTACTGTTAGAAGTTGAAATCACCTTGAATAACCGACCGTTAGGATACTTGGACAATGATATTGAACTTCAACCTTTGACTCCAAATGGAATGATCCATGGTGCTAACATTAGCCTACCTGAGGAAGATCCTGACGAACAAGACGAAGTCGAGGTAATGGTTAAGCGGGCCAGATATCTAAAACGGTGTAAGGATGTAATGTGGAAACGATGGTCTTCAGAATACGTAAGGGCGTTGCGAGAACGTCATGGACAATTGACTGGTAAGAAGTCGGAGATAAACGTTGGTGATGTTATGCTTCTACAAGGTGAAGAAAAGAACAGAGGACTGTGAAAATGGGAGTAGTTGAGAAATTGATTGCTGGAAAGGACGGAGTTGTTCGAGGTGCTATACTTAACACTGGTAATGGAAGAAAGGAAAAACCACTTCAACATCTATACCCGTTGGAGTTGGCAAGTGCAACAACGAAATCACAGCAATCGAAGGCATTGAATCCAAGGGCGAAAGCATTTGACCCAAGAAAATCGAGAGCGGCGAAAACAAGGGCGTTAGAAAAGATCGGACAGATAATAAGTGATATTGCAGACTCTAAGGACAATTAAACAGTTAAATGTTGCTTAGCCTTTCAGCTAAGAAAGGGGGAGGGTGTTGAAAATCTATTAATTTGAGTTTCCGGTTTGGGTGACTGTGGTGCACGGGCCCCAATGAACGATGGGACAAAAATACACATGGCGGACATGTTTAGGTTTGGGTGTACTACTTTTGAAGTAAATATACGAGCAGAATAACTTTTAATACATTGTAATACTTAAGAATAACTTTTAATATATTGTAATACATTGTAATACTTTTGAAGTAAATATACGAGCAGAATAACTTTATTTGCGTGTGAAAACATTTCCCACACCGTATTCCGTAGGAAGAATCGCGATAACCGGCGTCTTCACCACGTAGCAAATTAATAATAGACTTTCTCTATTCTGGTTTCAACTGAATTTCGAAGCCTAAATACTTGAAATATAAGAGTTCCCTCGAAAGCATTAACAGGCTGCATATTTTCGATACGCGAGTAAAATTATTGTTGACATTTGAGTTGCGTAATTACTTCCGTTAACGAGATTGACCAATTGGAAGCTTTTCCGAAGATTCGTCGGAGAAGAACAAATTAATCATAGGCATTTGGGCAGGCGTTTCCTCAAACGACGCCCTCTCTTCTCCCGCCCGCAGCAGGCTACCTGTACGATGTCCGTCAGGGGGCATTATTTTTAACACTACAATTCACATTATTTTTGCAATACAATAAAGCGTGCAAAATTTAAACGTAGTTCACCACAAGAAATAATGAGATATAGCACACGTTTTTCCAAAATTGGATTTTTAATGACGTCAGCACGGACGCAAGATCTGCCTCGTACCCAGGCGCTTTAAATATAATACATGAAGTATTCAGGCAGGCGACGCGCGAAAGGGCTGTTGCCTGTTGGGAAGGGTCCATCAGCCCCTTCGCCGGTTATGTTTTCATGTCACGCAATCACGAAACCTAATCCAATCAGGCTGATCTGTACTAAATCCTATCCCTAACCTCCTAACCAATCATATTTCGTGACTGCGTGACATGAAAATGTAACCCCTTCGCTCGCCATTATTATTATGATTATTATTATTATTATAAACTTTATTTTGACACGGTAGAATTATCAGTAAAAATTTACATAATATAGATGTATATAAAGTATAGAAAAAGGAGAAAAAAAAAATACAAATGCTATTTACAAATTAAAAAACAGAACAGTACTGATTTATATGATTGACGTGTGTGAGTCTGAGCTAACCAACATTCTAGACCTCGTTTAAAAGTACTAAGAGATTGTGCCGAACGAAGTTCAGTTGGCAAACTATTCCATAAAACAGCTCCATCGTAGCTGAGTGAGCGCTTCAGATAATCTGTATGTGGCTTAGAAACGAATATTGTATTTTCATTGTTTCTCAATCTGTAAAGACAAGATCGCGAAGTAAATGTGTCTTGTAGATATTCTGGTACCCTCTTGTTTATAGTTTTATACATAAGAATTTAAGCTTTTTGCGATTAATAGATAACTGGTGCCAGTTTAACTCCTCCAGTAAAGAATTCGAGGAGTTTTCATATGTGCTTTCGGTGATCATACGAGCAGCACGGTTTTGTAACTTTTGTAACTTACTGCTCAGCTCGCTGCTGATACCGTCCCAAACCGGGCAGCAGTAATTAAGGCAAGGCTCAATTAAGCATCTGTACGCTTTCACTGCAGTTTATAAGTCGCCCCACTCGTTTAAGGGCACCAATTCCTGAGGATACTTTTTTACAGATAGTACTGTCAATATGGTTCTTCCAAGTTAAATTTTCATCAATTGTTACACCTAAGGATTTCGTGTACTGTACTCTTTTAATTTGATTGGTATCTACGCATATATTAAGATTGTTAACATCATGGCTCTGTCGAGAGCCAATGACCATAAATTCAGTTTTAGTAATGTTTAAGCTTAATCTATTCGCATTGAGCCAGGTGTTTAAACTACTCAGCTCGGTGTTCATAATTTCTTCAAGATCAGTAAGATTAGAGCTTTGGAAGCTAATATTTGTGTCATCCGCGTACATACTCGATAAGCCATTGTTCAGACAGTTTGGCAAGTCATTGATATAGACCAAGAATAAAAAGGGACCTATTATTGAACCTTGGGGGACACCGTAAGTGATTGGTCGATTACTAGATAGATGTCCATTTACACAACATCTTTGTGTACGATCGGTTAGATAAGAGTGGAACCATGTTAATGCGTTTTCATCAACCCCGTATTGAGCAAGTTTGTCCAGAAGAGTTGCGTGATCAATAGTATCGAAAGCTTTTTTTAAGTCGATGAAAACTACACCATTGAGTAGTCCATTGTCGATATTTATCGACCACCTATTTGTTGTTTCGAGCAGTGCAGTGACCGCACTGTGCATTGTTCGAAACCCAGACTGACATTTAGTCTCCATCAACACAGCTAGAAAGCGCATGTTAAAATTAGTAAAATTGCAATGTTTGGCCGCGAAATGTTGTAAAATGCGGAAAATATAGCCATGCGAAATTTGCAAATTTTGTATTAATTTGTATTACGCGCGAGAAAATGCACAATATTTGGGCCGAAAGTAGTGCATTTCCCGTGCGTAATACAAAATTAATTCATTCTTGCCTAGATCAAAATTTAGTCTATACCTGGAATCATCCATTATAAACAAAGCAATTGGCATTTCACAGGACAGAAATAAAACACTTTATTACACTATATAGATTGGTATTTATGACAAGCAAGTAGCAGCATAAACTATTTCTAGTTTTTAGTTTTTTTTAAAAGAGGAGATCAAGATTCAAGAGCATATCTTGAAATACAGAGAGCAGAAAAACTGTAAAATTGTTACATGATATATTTCGATGTATTAAATTTCTCATTCTTTCTCACAAGATGGCGTCCACACTTTATTCTGAGAAAATTCCTAGTATTTCAGCATCGCGATATATATGATATTCCTAAGAAGAAAAACACTCAATTTACACGGAACACGTATCTTGAAAAATCAGGAAAGTTGTACATACATGCTATAAGCTTAGCCTGAAAACAGACCTACGTATTCGCTTGCCCTAAAATTCGCGGGTCGACGGAAAGGGCGAAACGTTTTGCCCAAGCATGCCATGCACCCGCAAATTTTAGGGCAGCAAAACGAAGGTCTGTGATCAGGCTAACATAAGCTGTCTACCGAGGTCACTAATATTCTTTCTACACCACAACATCACACAACACTCGCAGAGCTAGTATTGCTTGATGCTGAATTGATACAAACAAGTATGTTTACAATGTTCAGTATATAAATCATAAAGTCCTAGAGCGTCATGCTAGCATTTCGAAGGTCGCAGGTGGCAGGCAGAATTTTCTGCTTGCGCAATTTCCATACCTAGCGCAAGCAGAAAGATGTTGTCTGCCGCGGCTGGGTCTTGAACCCACG